TTTTCTGAAAATAGTGGAGACGTGATATCACGAACGTGTCTATTTTTAGACAGCTCAAAGAAAAAGGTATAATTCCTTTCATTAAATCAGCACCAATCCACAGGATGAACTCTCGTTTCCTTTCTCCTCATACCTGGAAAGCTATTGGAGATATCCTTCATCGTCTCAAGGTGTGTTGACAGTAGCCTTTAATTTTGTAGGTATTCATGAGAGTACAATATATCTGCTCAGCTCTTTTTTATTTGCCTGTGGGAAACATAGTTTCTGAAGGTTAATAAACAACCCTGCATATCCCAAGCCCCAAGATCATTTATCAGATTGCGATCTCTTACAGAGCTAGAGAGTGGCATGCAGTTTTATCATTTTAACAACGACGGCTAAAAGTGCCCGAAGAAGTCCGCCTAATAGGTTATTTTGTTATATGATTTCGTTATCAGATATTTCTTTTCCCCCTTCCCCCCTTTACTCGGTCTAGGTCGCGGTGGAGTAACAGCCATGAATCCCTAATGAATCCTCTCCGTAATGTCCCGCGAGTGGGCTGGAAAATAATAGGCTCGTTCCTGGGCAGTGGCTCTGTGGTGCTAACCTCACCCGGCCCGGACAGCTCCATGATGTTCACATTGCACTCCACTTATGTGTCTTTTTCAACCTTAAATATGGTAAAAAATTATCTTTCCCATTATGGGAAATATTGAAGTAGGCTTCGTATCGATACTGTTTTTTGGTTCTGTTCACAAGCTCTTTGTTCAGTTTGATTCATGTTGTTCAATTGTACCTATCTCAGCTATATAGTCCATTTTGCGTTCATATTTAATACATTTCATATGAATTAAAATACGTTTCTCAGGAAATGCTACACAGGGAACCTTGTGACAAAAATATTTATTTAAAAAATGAATAGCAAACAGCTGCAGATATTATAATCAGTCTTGAGTAAAACACTGTAATAATTTATATAATATGATAAACTTGTGTAATAAACCCCATAAATGGGAATGGAAAAAAGATGATTCGTTTAAGGACAGACTCATAAGAGTCATTTGTTTGTGAATCAGACTACATTGGTTATTTTTAAGTTTTTGATTCATTAACAAAAAGTATTTTGTTTGTGAACTGGACTACACTGTTTTTGATTCACTAAAAATAACTAGTTCATAGGAGTCATTTGTTTGTGAATCCAACAACACTGTTTGCTCTGTATGTCTTTGATTCACTAGAAAGAACCGGTTCATGAGAGACATTGTTTGTGAATCGCTGAATACACTGGTACGTGGCTTTGTATGTTTTTGAATTACTGAAAGAAAGAAAAATAGAGTTCATAAGAGTCTAGTGTGAACCGTACTAAGCAGGTTGCTCTTTATATTTTTAATACACTAGAACCTTTCATAAAAGTCATTTGTTTGTGAATCAGACTAAACTGGTTGCTTGGTATGTTTTTGATTCTCATAAAAGAACCGGTTTATAAAAGTCAGTTGTGAATTGTACCATACTGGTTGTTCTCTTTGATTCACTATAAAGAACTCGTTCATAAGAGTCATTTATTTATAAATCACCCCTACAATCCCATTTCAGTCGTAATGATATGGTTGATCCAGTGGTTCTGACTCTAAAACGTCACATCTTTTTCAATCTGTCAGGTTGTTCGGTGTGACAGGGAACTGTGCGGCTTGCAGTAAACTCATCCCAGCATTCGAGATGGTCATGAGAGCCAAGGAGAACGTCTATCACCTGGACTGCTTTGCCTGCCAGCTGTGTAACCAGAGGTTAGTCAAATCATATTCAGTTTTTCAACATTTCGAAGTACTTAAACATATGTATCTCTGTGCAGATGTGCTGAGCCTTTTAAAACTCAAAGGCTGTCTTGAATCCAAAGCATCTCATAGTACATTTACTACAAGGACGGTCCCCATTAACCCCTATATCGTGTCTTGCTCAAGGGCAAAATGGCGATAGGAAATTCCAGCAATTCACCGGTTCATGAATCAAGCCTTCTAGGTTTTGATAAATGACCTTCGGATTTAAGCCCACCACCCTACCACAGAAAGACAGTTTGGGCAGATGTTTTCTTATCCAAATTATATCAGTGTGTTTACTACAAGTACAGTCTCGCTGGAGCAAGAAGTACATTGCTCAAGGGCAAAACAGTGATATAGGGGATAACTCTCCAGCACATGAATCGCCCTTCAGGGGTTTGAACCAGCAACCTTTGGATTGCTGGCACAGTAATATTAAAGTATTGAACCACCATCATTTGCAAATTTTAGTTATTCTTACCAACATCTCTGAACCACAAGACCACATGTGTAACAACAAAAAAATGCCATTTAATAGACATGTTCGTATCCAAAGTGGTTTATAGTATATCTCACCCTCAAGCATCATGCCTTGCTCAGGGGCACAGTGATTATCAGGAACAAAATATCCCTCAAAACCACGAAATGCCCCTTCTGGGGTTTAAACAAATAACTTTCGACAGTTACAACCACTGCCGATCATGTTAGGCTTGAAAAGTAAACATGTATTTCTATTACATTTGACTTTATTAAATTTACTTTAATTCTGAATAGTAGATCATTACTGTGTTTTGAAATTCTTTTTTTACATTCCGTCACCCCTAGTCTTGAAAATTTGCTCACATCCTTTTTGTTGCAGTCTGTCATATGTCATGAGAAGACCACGGCATGCTTTTACACAAATTCTTCTATGGATGCTAAAACAAGAATTGTCCTAAATCTTCTCTTCGTGTTAAAATTAATTGTTTTTGTTTTTTTTAGTGGTTCACTATCAAAAACAGCAATTTAACACTTAAATATTCGGTGGCTTGTGGTTTTCTTCATTACTTTGGGCAAATTGTGTTATTTGTCCTCATTCAGTCTAAGAAGAGGAGGCCATTTGTCTTAGAACGTGGCTAAAATAAAGAAGAAAACTCATGCACGGCTGTTCATTAGATACCTGCTTCATACAAACACACAGGTGCCAGAGAGCAGTACACATGAGAGGGGCAGATTGCAGGATCAGGTTACGCTCAATTAACACTGAGTTATTGTCTTGCCACTTCACTTGACTGCTGATGAAGATTAGCTGACTTCTTAGATTAGGTGTGCGTGGTTTGTGCAGAGTCATGTTTGTGCAGAGTCACAGACAGGTCCACCCGCCGGCCCGGCATTACAGCCCATTTAGAGGCAGGCAAATCTTTATTTTTACATTAGGCCAGCCGATCAACTGTTTAATAAAATCTGCGTCAGTCTGCTTTACACGCTCTGACGAGGCCTCTATGCATCTTTCATTCCCCCATCACAATTTCACTGGTGTTCACCACAAGATTTATAGCACGGAGCCGGTACTAATTGCCCATATCTCAGACTGAAGCTTGAATTTCCTGTCAGTTTATTGAAATTTTTGGAGGAGAGATGGATGAACATAGGTGTCCTTAGCAACAAACTCACATTCAGCGGTCCTAAAAGTATTTGGATTCTTACACCGTGCTTAAAAATGTATTGCATTACATAAAAAATATAAAATGAGATCCAATTTATTCTGTGCAAAGTTTGGAGTCAGTAAGAATTTTTGAAAGGAATACTTTTTTAGTCTACAAGGATGTATTCAATTGATTAAAAGCGACAGTAAAGACATTTTTACTGTTACAAAAGATTTCTATTCAAATAAATGCTCAAATAAACTTTTGTATTAATCAAAAAAATCCATTAAAAATGTATCATGGTTTCCACAAAAAATATTAAGCAGCACAATAGTTTTAAACACTGATCTTACAAAATGTTTCTTGAGCACCAAATCAATATATTCTAATGATTTCTGAAGGATCATGTGACACTGAAGACTGGAGTAATGAGTACTGCAAATTCAGCTTTGCATCATAGGAATAAATTACATTTTATTTCCCACACACCTTGGTAATTGCAAAAAAAGGTCATTGTTTATTTGATGCCACTTTGGTTTCTAATTAACCAATTTAGTCAACCAATTAGTATTCTAATGCACTGAAATTCATATAAGCAGCTTGTACATGTCTAGTCTTGCATATAGCCAGATCTTCAGACTGATGCCACTTGAATGGCCAAATCCCACCCAAGAGACTATGACTGACAGGTAAAGCAACCAATCACGTTTCGTGCTGCGTCATGTTTATGGGCGTGAAAATGTCGCCACAATAACAGACCGGTGTGTAAAACTCTTGGACATATTTTAAAGATTCTATGCTGCGAACTTTACATTTTTCACATACTTTTGAAAATCCAGCATTTAGTTGATCCTGTTAAGCGCTTATCATCACATCACAGTCAGACTTTTAACTCCATCAGAGGGTTTGGCATCACGGCATCTTAAAGAACGCGACACACACGTCTCCCGGAAAGCCTGTATAATTTAACCAATCCAATGACGACTTCGAAACTTCGAAGTGTTTCCAATTTTGAGTGCGATATGCATCAGACGTTCAAGCCAGCGGTCCGTGGGCGTGACGTCTGAGGCTGAGACTAGTACATGTCTAAATACACATTAGGCCCATTATACATATACAAATCACTTAAAGCAACACAGATCATAAAGAACTTCCTGCATTGGCTCTCCTATGGTCTAAACACTACCCGAGAGAGCACCGCATCAACTGTCTGATATGTAAATACCCCCCATTTGACCAAACGAAAATTCATTTGTCAACAAGCTGACGAGACATTATCTCCACAGACACCCGCCACCCGACACGTCTCAGACACTTTGTTGTTCTGTCAGTGCCTTTTGAGAAAGCCTCGCAAATTTTGATGGACTCCTAAGAAAGAGAAAACGACGGCGGGGCTTTTCATGACGCATCCGTCATTGTGACAGCTCGCCACATTACCCAAGTACAGCCTCAGTCCAGTGATGCTCTTTGATAAACATCAACACAAACAGCAAGTCTGTCTCAAGAGCCTTTGATGGAAGGAGATCTTTTAGTAAACACATTGCGCATTATTGTTTTCACTAGCCAATTGGCCCTGATTTCATTTTTCCCATCTGTTTTGTTCTATATGCACTTAGTGCTTGAATGAAAATGATGAATAAATCAGGGGTAAAATTACTAATTTTTGTAGTTCAAGGACTACCTGAAATCAAAAATAGTTTTATGGCTTATATTCCATGTTTCTTAATTTCCAGGCTGTCTGTATGCTAATATATTTCAAAACCTTGAACAAAATTAACTGTAATATTTACAGTCACAAATATTGATGACTCATCCTGCATTAAAAGATCTTTGTCCTATCAAATGCTCGTTAGAATAAAAATTCCCCGCCTCCTTTCCTTAAATAAGGGTTGTTTTCTTATTTCCATTCCCTTTTTTTGTCTATTTCCCTTCTATCTACTTTCATATACATCCTAACCTGCTTTCTCCCTTCTCATCTCCCCTCTTCAAACAATATTAAAGAGGCCATGGCCTTTAAAAGAGCCATCTAATCCATCTTACAAAACGCTCTCCTCGCCATCAGTGACGTGGGACAGGCATTCTGATGCTTGGAGCAGGCTATCGGGTTGGTGGAGGTCACGCCGTATAATTATGCTTCTCCATGAGGGTCAGTAATGTCCCGACATTACCGTTTGATGCTTAAATGATTACAATCAAGCTTTTAATACAGCTGGGCCACCCCTCCTTTTCCCCACACACATCAGCAAGGCCATCATCTCCTACAGAGTCGTTTCATTAGTCAGGCCACACAAAAGCACCATTAAATACCGCCCGTGATTAGCTTAATTTCCACAAAGAGAGTGCTGAACTATGTCTGGCTTACTTATATGAAAACCAGAAACTTCTCCATAATATGGTAACGAATCATAAGTGTCAACTCTCTCACTTTTGAAGCATGTGACTGTTTGGCTTTTTTTCTGCCTTTAAAGAATGACTAGCATTTGACTGTGAATTTGACTCATTAGTTGAACCAACTAAATCTATATGCCGTTCTTTACTGAACACATCAGTGTTTTGAGTCTGAACGTAACTCAGAGCCACTGAACGAGACTGATGAAAGGAAAATTGCAGTATAATATTGTATTGCTGTCCAGGGCCGTCCTTAGCTGATGCGGGGCCCCCTCGGTCTGCTCAGTCTCGCGATTGCGTTTCCCCTTGGCCAGTTCACCACGGGGCCCCATCAAAGCGCGGGGCCCGGTGCGACCGCACCAGTTGCACTGCCCAAAGGACGGCCCTGTTGCTGTCATTGTTCATAGTTTCTTTAAAGTAGTTTTGATAGGTCTTTATGATTCATTGGGGTCAATGAGTCGATTTGTTCAAAACACACAAAAAGACATTGTCGCCACCTACTGCTGTAACGTGACCTGTATAAAGAGTCCTTGAACAAATCAGTGATCAAATCTTTTTGGAGGATGGACTCGAAGGATTCATTGAGATGAATCAAAATCGCATTGACCTATTATATAGCAAGCTGTGCTCATACTTTTTGTTAAAAATGCTAATTTTTCACAATCTTATCACAACTGTGATGATTAAAATCAACTTCTGCCCAAATTACATTAGGGAAGCTTCATGTTGACTAATATTATTTTAGTATTATTTATATACTATTATAGAATTTTAAAATTATACATTTTTAAATAAAAATATTAAGTTTTTTATTTTTTTATTGTCAGTTTTAATCCTTTTTTTATATTTAGTTTTTTTAATATTTCTACTTTTCAATTGTTTATATCTATCTATATCTATCTATCTATGGGATATATTATATTTAGATAGATTCTATCTAAATATAATAAATCCCAT